ATGGCCCCATAGGCTCATATGTTTGAGTACTTGGTTGTAGTGGTATTTGCTCCACCCATGACTTGGTCTATAGAGCCCGAATGAGGCGCTGCTTTTTGCCATTATGGGTGACCTCTTAAAAGGAAAGGGAGAGGGCCTGGAAATTGAACCCAGTGTTGTGGGATGGTCTGTATGTCAAATTACTCTGATTGGTCAACAAATAAAATACTGATTGGCCAGTGGCCAGGCAGGAAGTATAGGCGGGACTGACAGGAAAAAAGAAAAAACAGGAAGGCGGAAGGAGTCACTGTCAGCCGCCGCCATAACAAGAAGCCTGTGAAGATGCCGGTAAGCCATGAGCCACATGGCAAGGTATAGATTAATGAAAATGGATTAATTTAAGCTGTAAGAACAGTTAACAAGAAGCCTGCCATGGCCATACAGTTTGTAAGCAATATAAGTCTCTGTGTTTACTTGGTTGGGTCTGAGCAGCTGTGGGACTGGCGGGTGACAAGGATTTGTCCTGACTATGGGCAAGGCAGGAAAACTCTAGCTACAAATGGCGCCCAATGTGTGGAACATCAGTCAGTGCTCTTAAGTGCTGAGCCATCTCTCTTCTAACTTTCCTTGGTGCCACTTGTTAAGATCAATCCACATGAGTCTATTTAATGGGTAATAGGGATTTATTAAGATATAAATTGAGGAAATACACTCACGAATACAGAACTGAGGAAACAGCTGAAGTCATCCTCTGTTCTGACCAGAGCGAATCCACCTGTTAGTTGGATCAGACCAGGAAGCAGGCAGCAGGGTGAAGGGGCTCCTGACTCTTCTTTTACCTTTCATTCTAAGAGGTCACATACAAGGCCTCCTTCAGGCCCTATAGCCCAAGGTCGTGGGCGGAGCAAATGCCACTACATTTGGTCCCAGTTGGTAGAATTGTTTGGAAAGGATTAGGAGATATGGCCTTGCTGGAGGAGGTTTGTCACTGGGGACAGGCTTTGAGGTTTCAAAAGCCCACATCATTCCCAGTCAGCTCTCTCTTGGCCTCATGTTTGTGGATCAAGATGTGAGCTCTCAGGGACTATTCCTGTCCGCCTGCTCCCATGCTCCCCACCATGGTGGTCACAGGCTCTAATCCTGTGAAACCATAAGGCCCAAATTAAATAGTTTCTTTTATAGGTTGTCTTGGTCATGGTGTTTTATTACAGCAAGAGAAAATTGACTAAAACAGAGGGTAAAGTGCTTGCTGCCCAAGCGAGAAGCCATGAGTTTGGACTCAGAACCCATGTTATACTGGGTGTCATGGGACACAACTGCAATCCTCACACTCCTATGACAAAATCAAGGTGTAGGAAAGATTCTCCCTGGAAGCTCAAGGACCAGATAGCCTGATCCTGTCTTAAATAAGATGGAAGGCACGGACTGACACTTGAGGTTGTCCTCTGACCTCCACGCACACCACCATGGCATATGTATGTCTTTATTCACACACACACAGTAAATGCATATACACATGAACAAAACACCCAAGACAAAAAGCAAGCAAACAAACAAACAAAGCACTGGGAGAATTGTGAACCCCCAAGAAGAAAACTGTTCATTTGCGGGTGTTTGGGAGAAGGAGACTGCCTGGTACACAACAAAAGAAAGTGTAGACAGATTTTTAGAAGACTACTTGCAGAAAATAGACCTAAAACCAGAGTTATCTACAGAAATGCCACACATTTGGCAAAGTAAGAGACTGTGGCAGACAAGCCTTTAAAATTCTAGGCCAGTCTTTGCTTTTTGTTTAGATCTTTAAGTTTTGTATTGGATGATGTAGCACAAGGCTGTTTTGATAGGACTGGTATTTTTATGCCATCTAAGAAATTATACAATGACTCTTTTTCACTGCAACCAAATGTTGGGGTGTATTGGAAAGGCATTATAGAACATAAAATTTTAAGTCACTGTTAAGCATAGGGTGGGAGAATTGAGTGGATGCCATCTTGCTGATAAAACTTAATTAGTGGGAGTAGGCGATGCATGCTGATGATAGGAAAATACAGCCTCCAAAACGGAAAGTCAGTAGCGTAGTTCTGAAAAATGTTCTCTCTAAAATGTGTTGTTCAGTCCTGATGAAGAGTGATTATAAAATTAATGTTTTGAGCAAAATTGGAAACACAAAGTGAATGTATAACATTCCCTTGAGAACGTAATGGTTTAGAGACTCAAGAAAAATTAGCTGATGGTATCTACAAAAAGATTAGTTGTGTTTAAAATTGCTAAGATTCTTACCACCAGGCACTACAGAGATGGTTCCGTGGTTCAGTGAGCTGGCCGCTCTTTCAGAGAACCAGAGTTCGGTTCCTAGCACCCACACCAGGCAGCTCAAAGCTGCCTGTAACCCTGGCTCCAGGAGGACCCACCACCTCTCACCTCACGGGCACCTGCAGTCACATGCACTCACCTCTCACCTCATGGGCACCTGCAGTCACATGCACTCACCTCTCACCTCATGGGCACCTGCAGTCACATG